ATCAATTTAGTCGACACGCACTTTTTTTAGATTATAGAGTATTTCATTGTCATCCTTCGCTCGCGTTGCCTTCTTTTTCGTGTGCTCTCAATCATAACTATGACTACAATACAATAGTTTAAGGATTTTTCCGTTAGTAAGAAAGTCTGATAGTTGAGATTAAAACTTACATATAATATACATTTTGATGAAAAAAATAAAATGTGAATTTGATAAAATAAATCAAATACTTACAAATATAGAGACCAAGTAAAAGAAGAAGTGGAATAAGTAACCACCATGGTAAACTAAAGAGATGATCCCATAGAAAATTGAATAATTTAATTGGCATATAAAGAATATTTTTAACAAAATGAATTAATGTATTATCTTCATGTTCATCTATTTTTTCATCTTTAGTTCCTTTTTTTTCATGATATTCTTGTTCTTCTTCTTCTTCTTCTTGTTCATCTTGACTTTTACGTTCTTTTCGTTGTTTATTTGTTGTTTTACGTTGCTGTATATCTTCATTTTCATTATCACGTGGTGTTGAATGAATTGGTGGACGTCGACGAAGATAATAACCTGTTGTTTGACCATTTGTTGATGATTGAGACGATGTACGAGAAACTCTTGTACTACGATGAGATGTTGGTGAATGTAAAAGTGCTTCTGTTCCTTGTTCTTGTTCTTGATGTTGTTGTTGTTGTTGTTGTTGTTGTTCGTGTGTACTATGATGTGTTAAACGATCACGAATAGCTGAATATCCATTAGCTAATTGTGAACGAACATTTGAAATAAATCGTGTCGGTGATGAAAATACTGAATTTGTCGATGAAAAACTTGATGATCCATATGTACGATAATCACCATGTAAATCACGACGAGCCATTACTGGAACATCACATGTACCATTTTGCGACACAGGCATATAGGAAACACTAGAATTAAATAATCCAAAAATATTCATTTCAATATCGATGAGATTTTTAAGGTATGAATACATCATATAGGTCGATGGAACTAATAATATGTAAAGAAAAGGATAGTACTACATTTTCAGATCAGTGCAATATATCATGGTAACAAATTCCGACGAGAAGTTTCGGTCTGATATCATCCCTAACAATAGCACATGCCAATTTATTCAGGCGTAGGATATTGCAACCAAAATTTGTCTATTTTCGCTGAACGTTTAGGAAAACCACCATAATACGGATCGTTTCAAAATTTTCATCTACACTATCAGTCCTGCCTATGAACTCAGATAGAGATTATGACTCGGTCGGATTCCCTCGTAACAAAAACTTAAAAGGAATCACTCCTATAGCCTAATAACAAACAAGTATGACTGTTTTTAATCAATTATTTGCTGAAACTAAGAGCTTTCCGAAAACAGACTTTTGAATTTTTATGTGGATGTGATGATTGTACTCTACTATACTTTTCAAGACAATCAAAATATCAGCTCGAAAATTACTTGTTCTTATTGAAATGGTCAGAACTACTAATCAATAGACTATGACATCGAACGTCTAACAATTATTATTCATTTCGAAAAAAAAAAGTAATAACCTTCATGGTGTTATTAAATAACTTTTCACAAGAACATGATAGAGACTTGCAGTTTTCACCATCAAGAGAGACGATCAAGGACTTTTGCAACTCAATCGGGTAACAATCCAT